ATGAATCTGATATGAAGCCTAAGCATTCTGTGTCGTTGCCCTGACAGGTTTAATCATGTCAGCCAGCCTGGCACCACAGCCAGGAAGTGGGGATATTGTCCTTGCTAAAGCCCAGCGTCAAGTATAACCCACTCTATCTTAGAAACATGGACCTGATTAATGGTTATAATCAAAGTAACTTCATTATGTAAGTACAATAACTCAGTCGAGAAGATATTTCAGTGCAGTTAAGAACTTATTAATTCCTGGCAGGAGGAATCATTTTCTTTATAGGGATTAGAGATGCCCAGTAGGCAGCCCCACTCACTAAAACTTTTATGAACAATAAGTATTTGGGCAGGAGGCATTTGTGACCCTGCAGCGGTGGTAATCAGGACCTGGGAGTCCACGAGGCCTTTCTTCAGACACCCTGTAGCTGGTGCCTCCGACATAATCTCATTAATTGTAATCAGAGTCTAGGGGGTTGTGGGTCTCTTTGTTCTTACAGACGAGGAAACAAGAGTGGAGCAGAGAGTGTGAGGCCTCAAACTGGGAAGGGGCAGGTTGGCCAGTGTAGGGAAAACAGGAGAGAATCTTAGTCCATTTTCCTCGCACAGTTCTTCCTGCAGGCTTTTAAAACAGCAATGTTTTGACCATGGAGAACCATAGGAAACTGTTCACCAGCCCCAAAGAATCCTTTGATAGTGTGGTCTAGGCTTCGGTTGAAATATCATTTCTGTTTTTAAAAGAAGAGAATTCTGGCATATACAGTAATATAGATAAAATCCGAGGATGCTATGCCCACAGGATGCTATGCCCAGGAGGATGATATGCCCAGGAGGATGCAATGCCCAAGATGGACACTAAGGACAAGCACTGCAGGAATCCATTAGTGTGAGGTCCCTACAGTGGTGGCATTCACACAGACGGAAGTTATAAGCATACACCATGTGTCGGTGTTAGCTCTCGTTGTGGTGAAGCTGGGACCGTGCACACAGAAATGGGCTAGAAAAGATGCTTGAGAAGAAGTCATTACGTGGAGTGAGAGGTAGTCTCTGAGATACGGCATTCACCCATTTCAGTGATATAAACACCCCCACCATTGTCAGCGCCAAATTAAGGAGGTCACATCCCTGCCACTGTGCCGTGAGTCAGATGGAGAGATGCCTGATGACCCTCTCTGGCCAGGGGCTGCTGCAACACTGCATGGCTGAATCTTTAAACTGCAAGAAAGTAGGTCAGAAGATGCTCCTAACACAACCCAAGAATGCAGACTTGCTGCGCGTTAAGGAGCTGTGGGGTAGCTCCGTGGCTAATGAGCGATGCTTATGAACTCGTTTCTCCTGATGTAAAACACCACCTGCCTTAATGAGTAATTTTGCAGGAAAACACATAGCGCATAGCTTTGGCCGGAGCCATCCTGGGTCTGGGTTTGCTCTGAGGCTAGCAGTTTTCTCACAGCCTCTCCTCGGTACCAATTCCTGTTAAATGACTCCGTCCATTCGTGCTGCTTCAGGAATCATGGCAGAGAGCGTAGCTGCCCTGACATGCTGTCATCTCTCGGCGCCCAGGACTGTGACAAGTGAAAAGGTCGCCGTGCCTTCAAACATCAGCACTGAAGAGAAGCCGTGGTGATGGCTCATTAAAACAAATGGGTTCTTCTGACCATTCTAAGCAGGATGGGGAAACATAGGCTAGCTGAGTGTTTCTGACTGAATGCTGGCTTCATTACCAGAATTTAAAGCCCCATCTTGATGGGACTCTCACCCGAAAGAGAAATATGACTAAAAATGAGGATAGTCACTGGTAGAATAGTATCAGTGAGTAAAATCCCAAGCTGCATGGTTTGTTGAAACATTTCTCCCATGTAGTGTGCAATAAAAACCTGTTACAGCTTGAGAAAGGAAGTGCAGAGGTTCTCAAGATGGCTCTGCAGGTCAAGGCATTTTCTGTTAAGTCCAATGACCTCTGTTTGATCCCTGGGGTCTACATGGAGGAAGAAGAGAGCTAATTCGTGCCAGCTGTGCTCGGGGCCGCAGATGTGCATGTGTGTGTGAGAGAGACAGAGACAGAGAGAGAGGTGAGTCTGTATGTGTGTGTGTGAGAGAGAGAGGTGTGAGTCTGTGTGTGTGTGTGTGTGTGAGAGAGAGAGAGAGAGAGAGAGAGAGAGAGAGAGAGAGAGGTGAGTCTGTGTGTGTGTGTATGAGAGAGAGAGAGAGAGAGAGAGAGAGAGAGAGGGAGGTGAGTCTGTGTGTGTGTGTGTGTGAGAGAGAGAGAGAGAGAGAGAGGTGAGTCTGCGTGTCTGTGTGTGTGTGAGAGAGAGGTGAGTTTGTGTGTGTGCGCGCATGTGCGTGTGTGTGCGTTTGTGTGTGTGTGTGTGTGTGTGTGTGTGTGTGTGTGTGATATTTTTAAGGAAACGGCAAACAGCATTCAAGTTGTCAAAGCAATACTTCAGTCTGTCCAGAGCAGCTCTTCCCTCCTCACCAGCAGATCTTAAATTGGGGCTCTCCAGCCTTCCCACAGGGACACCCTGCCCTGTGCCCTTGGCCCAACAAACCCCAAGGGAAACAGGAGCCCTGAACTCATACTGAACTCTAAATACTAACACTGGAAGAAGGAAACCATGAGCAATTCCCCACAGAAAACTTCCATTTTTCATGTTCCCCTTTCCCTTTTTACAGATACTGTGAAATACTGCCCATGACTTTGAGACACTTAAGACCATAAAGCGTGGAAGACCCATGCAAGGGAGTCATGAAAAAAATAAAATTTCAAAATATACCACAATGTGAAAGACCCTTGAGCCCATTATATGTAAAGAGCTCTGAAGGCTAACATGAGAACAGATATTACATGGCCCCATTTACGAGACATACTTAGAAAAGACACAGAAGAGTGGAATGTGGAGCCAGCTAGGTGCCTCACTGGCTTAGTGAATAAGGGCACTTGGAGCTAGGCATGATGACCTCAGTTCAATTCCAAGGACTCACATGGTAGGAAGTGAGAATATACTCTCACGTGTCATCTATGAACTGTACACACACTATGACATACACATGCACACACACACATGCAGATATACAGAAAGAGCGTGAGAAAAAGAATAAATATATAAAAGCTAATAAAAATTTTAAAGTAAAATCAGTGGCTCCCTCAGCCTTGGGGTTGGCACAGTGAAGTTACCAAGTTAGACAGGACTCTTTCAAAATAATGTAAATGCTAGTTAGAAGTTGATGCGGTATGAAAACATGTAACTCCGTAAAATCCTTTTCAGGATGTACATTATATATGTATTTATACATCATGCAACACGTGTATACCTGTATGTGTAATTAGTATTGTATACATAAATATAGTTGTACATTTGGTAACACAAACATACCTGTTGAGTAGAGCCAACCTCCCCCACCCTGCAAAATCACGTCTCGTAGAAGATTCAGGCTGCGGACTTGGGAGGGAACATTCACTGCAGAGGTAACACTATCTACCCAACAGCCTGCACTGCAGCAGACCCTGGCTGTCAATAAGTATCTCTGCGAAACCCTGTTTCCACAGAAAGCCACATTCTGAGGGTTCATGAATCTTGAAGGAACACAAATTCAAATTTGACCCTAGAAACAAGGGAGGGGTCTTTCTCCCTAGGATTGGAGGCATGGGGACATGTGGGGGACGTGAGGATTTGTTTTTAATAATTTTCAAAGATTCCCAGTCTCTTTGGAGACATTGCATTTTTTACCCTGTTATTAAATATGTCTCCATATATTTATTTCTTTAGCCTTGATATTTCAAACTGTGTGGGTGATCTATTATATTGAGTCATTAGAGGCCGACTGTCAATCAAACAGGTTGCTTTGTGCTTGTTAGGTGAGAGCTCATGGCTACCTTCATCTGATTGAAAGCCAACAGAGCAGGTGAAAAATCAAGTCCTTCCAGGGTGTATTCTTGAAGGTCATCCCATGTTAATTCTCTAGCATGCGTTTACTGCAAATCTAGGTCAGGCTGTGCAAGCAACAGATTCTCAGAGGAGATGGCTTCTCTCTGCCTGTGGCACAAGCGGGGCTGCTTGTAGCCTTTGTCATTTGGGGTTTTTATTTGATTTTTTGTTTCTCATTTTCTCTAAAGGTAAAGGCTTTGAGGCACCTGAGTGAGGAAGTCTGCCTCTTAGCTCTCTGCCTCTCAGATAACCAAAGCACTAATACCATGACAACGCTCAGATATCTAAAACACCAACACATGACAACTTAGATAATTGAAGCACCATTGCTTGTAGCTTTCAGGGATCCATTTTGGCTATGACCTGCATTCTCCCTCTCATTTGCTTGTAACTTTAGAATAAATTTTGTAAGATGTGTTTTAAAATAGGCTTCCAGAATTCCAGGTGGTTTGCAGAGTTGAGAAGGGAGTCTTATGCTACCCATTGCTAAGGACAAAACCCTACAGATTAAATGCAAATAGAAGAAAGAAAATGCAGATTTCGTGCATAAAGGTTATCTCCTCCTCCTCCTCCTCTTCCTCCTCCTCCTCCTCCTCCTCCTCCTCCTCCTCCTCCTCCTCCTTCTTTTTCTGTAAGTATAGGATGAGCTTTTGTTATAAGTTCAGAAAGGAAGGCTGGTTTGAGGTCTCTAGGGGAAGATTTAATAGCGATCTGCATAGTTCGTCAGAGAGGTGAGCCGAGAAGAGTGTGAGAAGTAGCTACGAGGATTGACGTAATTTCATAAATAGGGGTTCCTCCCCAGGGCTGAATCATTATTTGCCTGTGTGTTGTGGTGACACAGGCCATGCCCCTGGCTCACATCTGGCTCCAACGGACTTGGAATAAAACTGCAACTCCTTGAATATGAACCTACAGGGCAATTTCTCCTGTCTTTAGTGTTGTTCCTCTTGGCCCTTGCTCAGCAGTTTCTTGGACTCATTTTATTTCAAAGAATTGTCTCTTGAAGCAACACTGGGTGTGATGGTAGGGGAATCAAGAATGCAGCTTTGCTGAGCTGGACTTGTCTTCTTTGCTTTGTTTTTTCTAGTTCCTGCTATGATAACCTCTTATCCCAACACTACCCTGGCCACTCAGGGTCAAAAGAAGGAGATGAGCTGCACAGCACATGGCGAGAAACCCATCATTGTCCGCTGGGAGAAAGAGGACAGGATCATTAACCCCGAAATGGCCCGTTACCTGGTGTCCACCAAGGAGGTGGGAGAGGAGGTGATCTCTACTCTGCAGGTAAAAATGCCAGATGGGACAGAGTTCTGGGACAGTTCGTCAGCCTTCTGACACAGACATGTGCATGGCTGGAATGACGTGTGAATATCCTGCTGGAATTTTCTCCTGACACCCCATTTCTCTGTTGATCAACATGGACAAGGTCACTGAGTGACCTTCAGAAGTAGACTTCACAGCCACTGTCCACAGAGAAATAACTAAGCCCTGAAGGAGGTCTCTCCATGAGCGTTGTCCTCAGAGGAGTGGGGTGGGTGTAAGGTGCATATTCAACAGCATGAGCTTTGAGAAAAGAAAACCTACAATAAAGATATTTTTAAGAGCTAGAGAGCTGACTCAGGAGTTAATAGTGAGCCTGAGTTTAGTGCCCAGAACCCACATCATGGATCACCACATCTGTGACTCCCACTCTTGGGGATCCAGTGCCTTCTTTTGGTCTCCATGGGTTCTTGGACACGTGTCCGCATGACCCAACACATATACATGTAACTGAAAACAAAATATTTTTTTTAAAAAAGGGAAAAATATTTGGTTCTTTGTAGAAAATCCAATGGAGAGAATATTCCGTCATTAATGTAGACTCGCAAGAGCTAGGAGGAAGTGTGTCTGTTCTGTCTGCAACACTGAGGGTGACTGACTGAACAATGCTTCTGTAATGAGGAAGGCCGGCACAGAAGCACACACATGAGGGAAATTTAAAGCTAGGTGCTTAGAACAGACATTGGCTCTGCCTCCGGGGTGCAGTCCTCGAGGCTCTATGGTGCAGAACGCTGGTGAGGTCCTGAGGACATTGACGATACAGCCGTGCTTCACAGACCCCAGGTGTGAGGATGCTGCAATCGTGTATCTGGATACCGTAGACGTGCATATATTGCATATAATACACAACTTACACATACTGGAAACCACTTTTTGTTGTTCAAAATAGCAAATACACTGGAAATGTGTAGAGATGCTGTACTGAGCATTTAGGAAATCCTAGAAAGAAACAGCGTGTTCAGAAAAGGCATCGCTGTGTCCGTGGGAACAGAGTGGTGGGTGCAGAGAGATGGCTCATTCATAGACGTTTTTTCTGCATGGCTCTTTAAAATCACACCACGTGGGAAGAGAGAGAAGTGTGTGGAGTATAGATGGGCCTGACCACAGCAGCCCATGTAAATCAGACATCTAGTCCAACAAGACAGATGGACCTGTTTGCATGCTTATCATTGCATGGAAGTAATTTCCCCTCAGAATGTATCAACATGGGTGCATTTGTGTAAATGCATGCAAGTGTGTATCAGTGTATATCAGTATATGTTGGTCTGTGGGCGAGTATGTCTTTGTCAGTGTGTCTGCCTGTGAGTGTGCACATGTGCAGGTGAGTCTGTGATTGTGGACATGGGTGTGTGAGGTTGTGTGTGCAACTGTGAAACTGGATATGTGTGTGTGTGTGTACATCTTTATTTGCGTCTAAGTATACATCTCTGAGTGTGCCTGTGTGAATATGATTGTGTGTATATCTGTGTGTGTGTGTATGTATCCATGTGTGTGAATGGGAAAGTATGCATATGAGTGTCTCTTTGTGTGCTGTTTGAGAATGTGTGTGTGAGCGTGTATCCATGAATGTGTGCTAGTGTGAGTGAGTGTGAATATGCCTGTGTCTGTGTGTATCTGTGTCCATGTGGGAGTGGGAATGTTTATGTGTATCTCTGCGTCTATGTCTGTGTTGTGAGTATGTGTCCATGTTTGTAGAAGTAATGAGTGCTGGGAATGGCAGGAAATCATGTCTGCTGATCTCCAGTTCAACCTACTATCGGAAGTGATGTCTTTTCTGCTTTGGTCACAGATTCTTCCAACAGTGAGAGAGGATTCTGGTTTCTTCTCCTGCCATGCTATCAATTCTTATGGGGAGGACCGCGGAATAATTCAGCTCACAGTGCAAGGTAGGCTGGACACAGCAAAGGGAATTTGGGACAAGGTGTGCTGACCTGTGGGAGCAGTACGGCCCCAGTCAGCTGGGAACACTTCGCATTCTCAGGAAGTCCTAGCTATGTAGGAAATTGGCCTAAGTCTGGATTTCATCAGAAGGTGTGACTGTGTCAGACTGAAGCCAAACCCTTGTGGGGACCAGAGCGGATGAGAGAGCAGAGACTTAGGCCAAGTGCAAACAAGCTTAGCCGCTCCATCTTGGGAGCCTATGTATGAGATGAAGAGGATGGAATGGAAGTCCACCATCTGGGAATGAATGTGCTGTGAGTCAAAGCAGTGACGCGTGCATCTCGCAGGTCTGGCCTGGTGCCACACAGGCTGCACACAGAATCTGTTGGGGGAAGTGGGCAGTGCCTTCTAGTTAATCAGAAAAGGAAAATCGGCTAGTAAATGCTTTTTACCAGGCAGTGCCTGCTAGCTGTAAGTAACTCTTCCACTGGAACTTGTGTCCAGGCTTGATCTGAACTAACCTCCATCTTTCTGTTGATGATACAGAACCCCCAGATCCTCCCGAGATTGAGATCAAAGATGTCAAAGCACGCACAATCACACTCAGGTGGACCATGGGGTTTGACGGCAACAGCCCCATCACAGGCTATGACATCGAATGCAAGAATAAATCAGGTAAGCTTTTCACTTTCCCCTTGACTTGTCTGTGTCTTGCATGCCCGCCTGCCTTCCTCCTTGTCTCTTCATTGTACGTCCACAGTTCCTCCGCACACAAATCTCAGAATGCTGTTTCCATTTGGTCCATGCCTTGCATGAGTATGTCCAGGTTTCCTTCTGTGCCCACGTTCAGCCCCAGTCTGAGTGACCTGGCTGGACCTCGGCCTTGACCCCACTGGTCTTGGTCCTGCCGCCACAGGCTTGCCCATGGGTACCAACAGAAATAGGCTTCTATCCTGGTCTTCTACCAGCCTTCTTACCTTCTACTGCTCCAGATAGGTGCTGCCCTCAATTATAGACCTGGATCTCCCATCCCAAGCTTCAGGATCCACCATGCAGGTGTCTGCAGGATGTGGCATATGACAAGTCTATGCAGAATGAGGAAGGATAATCTTTCTTCAAGTGATAATGGCTCTACAAATACCCCCTGGAAATGCACTAGGGACAGGCCAGGGAGCACTCAGCCAGTCCACAGCCAACACATAAAACTGACCTAGCTAGCGGCACCATGGCAGGCTTTCTCACTGGTGTTTTTCCAAAGGCTACTGCAGTCCCACGTGGAATCTTACAGTCTCTCTGGATGAAGATAGAATGACACCACTGTGGCCTCTTGCCAGAATTTTTCTGTGTCTTATAGAAGACATAGGGTAGGAGAGCAATCTGCATTGGAAGGGTTAATTCACTTCTCAGAGACACAAGAGCATTTTTTTTTCTTTCTAGGCCAATGTGTTGCTTCACATTGCCCTGTCAGGAGTGATTTGGTCTCTTTCGAGATGAGACATAGCAACAAATCAAACTTAAGACAGCTGGGAAGAGTAGGTCCAGAGGGCAAGATGGCTCACTAGCAGTGTGCCAGGGATAGAATCAGGAATTAGTGAACAGAAGTGAGGAATTAGGAGAGGCAGAATTTGGAGACTCAGCGAGTATCAAGTGTGGATCAATGGTTAAGGATCTTGTTCCGAATAGCTAGTTTGGGATGCACATAAGAACAGGGGGTGGCTCAGCTCTCTGGTCTCAGAGTTTCAGGTGGGAAGACCCTCGAGGCAAGTAGTGCAGCTCCAAATCACTATGTCCCTAGGGAAAGTAGTAGAGCAGTATCCAGGGCTGTGACAAACAGGCTTCTCCCAGGGCCCACAGGAGAGGGGATGGCTTTAAAGAAAAGAGATTGTTCAGTGAAGTGAGGTGCAGACTTGCCTGGAAACGGGGTAGTGATGAGGGACAGCAGAGATGCAGACAGGCACAGAGTCATTCAACATGACCCAGGGAACAAGAAAAGCCCCACTTTCCCACAGGCTGAGCACTGGCTGCCCACATTCCTGGGACTGGAACACATAGCAGCCTCCCACTGCAGAGCAGGCCTGATCCATGCTGCCTTCAGGGAGGGTCCCCCTGCCAACATCTGGTGCCCACCCAAAGCAGCAGTAATGAGCATTAGAATCCAGCTTGTGCTGCCCTCTGCTGGCCTTAGCTTCACCTTGCTGTTCCTCTATCTCAGTTCTGCTAACCTCATCTGTGAAAGAGGAGACCATTGCAGAGGCCAAGGCTACCTCTGGCATCATAGGGCCCCCACTCTTCCTTGGTGTTCCTTTTTCCCCAGCAAGTTCTGAGACATATATCAAGGGGGGCCCTCTGTGTGTATTAACTGCCATATCCGTGCATGCATGTCCCTCCACCAGTCTGGAAGTTGGTTGGGCTCCCTCTGCCTGCTATGTTTATTTCCACACTGCCCATTGTTCTGAATACCTGATAGACAGTGGATGTTAAATCCATATTTAATGAGTCTTTAAGACAGAAGTGCACTTAAAATCGTTCACTCATTTTCTGACACATAGTCACCCCGACAAGTGCAGTCTTTTGTGTTACTCAAACATGCATGAAAATAATTACAAGATGAAGGCCTATAAAATCTCATCTTGATGGGGTTAATTCATCATCTAAGAAATCTCAATGCACACCCCTCTCGGTTCCTGTCAAGTTTCTCAGAGTTGTGCTTTCCTTTCCTCCTTCCTTCAGGTCCCTAGCTCACGGTACATTATCTAATGTAAATAGAATGTGGAGGAAATATTCCTTGTATTTAATTTACACACTTGAGCCTCAGAGTAGGAAGCCCTGGAGAGAGGGAGAAACTGCTCTCCTAATATGTAGTAGCTGCATTCAGTTCTGTAAAGCTCATGTCTGCCAGCATCTTCATGAGTCATGTCTTTCCTTGGTAACTGCTGGGTTTGTAAACTCATTACCATGTCTATAAGTGAATAAAATTTCTAAGATAAGTTCATAGAAAACCAAACCCATCCTTCCAGGTTACATGTCTTCCAAGAAGCCCTCCCCACCAGCCATTCATCTTCTCTACCCATAATCCTGTACTTCTGGGTGGGATCCCAACTAGTTAACCCAATCTATTCTCCACTGAGAATAGACACAAGCTGTCTCCTTGGAGTACCCTTGTGACCTGTGTCTGGCCAGCCCTTTACAGTGTCTCTGCACTCCAGAGTTCCTGGTACACATTCTGAGCTGATAATCAATGTCCGTTGAACCCTGGATCTCCACTCATTTGCAGCAGTGCCACCATCTTGCAAAGGAACTTTCATCTACTTTTTGTAATTGTTTTGCAAAAGCTACATTCAGCCGGTGTAGTAAAAACCCTTCACATTCTTAGCAAAGAGGGTTCTTATCAGTGTATCAGTCAAGGCTGGATCAATTCAGTCCAAGAAGCATGAACTTACCAGCTCTGCAAGGCCCACTCTGCCCTGTCCAGCTGGAACTCTTACAGGCTGTAGCCTGGGTTAATGCACACAAAGTTTCTTCAGCCCAAACATCATCCATTGGCCAAATGGTCTTCCTTCTGTGGCTTGATGACAGATGTCCTTGGTTTTTAGTATTAATAATACTAAAGAGCCCCTATCCATGCCTTCCTCTGTGACCATCCACTCTGGAAACATCCAGGACAACTCCACAGGTATTGTCTTGTAGAAAGCAAGCATTAGAGGGCAGGTGCCTCCCTGCTTCATATATCTTCTCTATTGCCAGCAGCTCTGGGGTGCTCTGATTGCCCCTTTCTTTTGATTCTTGGGGAAACCACATCTCTTCTACATGGATGCTCTGGGTTCTGTGACAGTCCCCCAACGTCTTCTCATAAGACCCTTCATTATCATTGGACTATAGTTGTTACATCTGCCCCATTCTCTCATGTTGGGGGACCGTAGTCTGTTTTCCTTCCCTGCCTGTTCTGCTGGCCCCTTTCCTCTCTTCCCACCTCCAAAAGTGTGGAGAGCTTCAGCACCACGGTCAGCACCTGGCAAACACAACAGTGGCTTTACTCTTGTCCCTGATGACCTGTCATGATCTGGGGTCAGGCATCTGACCTTCAAGCTGAACTGGTTCACAGAATTTATAAGCTTTCCAATTCTTCCTTGGATTGTTTGGAATCAGCAGTGAATATTATACTTCTCTGTGCCCTTCCACCAGCCACTCGGGGGTCTGCCACACTGCTCTCTGAGCTTTACTTCATGCAAACACACACTGCTCCCACCATTTTATTGGCCACAGCTGCTGCCTTTTATATCTAACACAAATGTTTGTTCATCATTCCTTCCCACCAGTAAGCTGAGACCTTGCAGGGACTCAAGGTTACTGTGGTGGAGCAGTCCTGAAGCAGTGTCTGGTACTATCATCTCGAAGGAGGTTTAGGAGAACATGTGAAGGCTGTAGAATAAGGATCTTGAGCTTGAGGTAACACAGTTGAGGTCAAATGCCAGCCTCTAGTTAGCAACATCTGTGTGTAGACTGACTCCCTAGACCTTTACACTGAAAACTAAATCCCCAGTTTGTCTGAAATGATTTTGTTTTCCACAGGTGAAAAGCAAATTATGAGTGGGAGAGTGGCTTCTGAGTCAAACTAGAAGGTTGTTTTGCAAGTGGACCACCTACAGGGACTTAGGCTGGGTCAGAGGAACCTATAGCTGGTGACTGTTGAGTGCTCAGCAGGTTACATAGTCATCCTCTCCCTGATTTGGTGTTTTTACAGGACTTGGGAGGTTGGGGGAAGAAGCAGGCAGCCTCTCTATTCTCTCAGTCTCTTCCATGTCCCATAAATGTGGTTGTAGTGAAAAAGTTCTGCCTTCATTGGTCCTTGCATTTCCAGAAACTTGCATATTATCATGATAGAACCATCAACCATCTGAATGCCTGCTTATCCCTGTATTTCTTTGTATCTAGCAATTCTAGTGATTCCTCCCTGTGAAACATGTTCTGCAGGAGACCTGATTTTTTTCTCTATGTGATAGGCTCATTGTTGGACATCATTTTGTTGACAAAGATTTCTTCCCCTCATTCATCCTCTATCAAACTCATCATTTAGTTTCACCATATTTTCTCCATGTTGGTATCCTACCCCCAGTCTTCCCAACTCAAAAGATGCCTATACTTTGCTCTTTGATAGTGATGATCCATTTCCATGATTTGTGATTCCCTAAGAAGAAAAATCCTTACAAGCATTCTGAATCCATGCATTTCTGTTTCTTCAAGTCTTGCTTTACATTGAGACAAGGCAGCCCCCTTAAACTCATCACTAGTGAGACAAGGGAGTTGACATCCCCAAGACTCCATGAAAATCCTTAAGGATTGCAGGAGAAGACCAGGTAGTGGTGGGTGGGTATATATTTTTTCCATCTATCGTCTCAGGGTTTCTTTTCTCCTATAATCAACAGCTGCTAATGAGTACCCATCCTCAGTCAACTGCCCATCTATTCTAATACAAGAAACTTGGCTGACCTCATCTTCTTCTACCAAAATTCTTCTGCTCAAACTGCCACATATTCCACAATATCCCTTCACAGTAAAGAGATGCTAATATTCAAAATAGCTGAGACTGAAAACAGATTCCCGCCACCACAGATTTGGGATGAAATGAGTTTTTAAAAACTGAAATTGATCAAGGTGCTTCTTTGTGGGGTTTATACTAAGGTTGACCGGCTTGTGTGAAATGATTTTAGCTTTATCACACTTGGTTTAGGAAGAAAGGGTCAGATATAGTGAAGGGTTTTGCTGAGCTTTTGTGCCTTTTAGAACCAAGGACCTGGAATGGGAGCAATGTCTGAAATATAGTTTGTCATGGTGCACTGTAGAATAAGCTTTTGTGTGTGGCCAAGGCTTTCACAGAACCTTCCATCACATGTGTTTCCATCTCGTTCTTCCCCAGGCATATGTGTTGTGTGTTTGCTCAAAGGCCCTTTCTGTACCAAGCTCACCTCAGTCCTTTACCTACTGCCATGGGTAATAAGTGTGTGACCCCATGTACCCACTGGTGACCAGCTCTGGCAAGAAGCTGGGAACATTGTGTTGAGATTTCACTTTGGGGGTATTTTTTTTTCTTTCTTCTTTTCTTTTTTTTTTAAATTCCTATTGTGAACTTTCAAAGGCAGAGTAAAAAAACTCACATCTCTATCTCTTCTTTTTTGAAAAACAAAACCCAAAAGACTCCTGGGATTCTGCTCAAAGAACCAAAGATGTTTCCCCTCAGCTGAACTCGGCCACCATCATTGATATCCACCCTTCCTCCACCTACAGCATCCGCATGTACGCCAAGAACCGGATTGGCAAGAGTGAGCCCAGCAACGAGATCACCATCACGGCGGATGAGGCAGGTAGGTGGCACTGGTTAGAACCTGCCACCCAGTAATCCACTCTTGTGATTCAGACGCTTAAATGTAGAATTGAATCACGCCTTTCCCTGCTCCTGGTCACATTCTTTTATGTGGACTTCCCATGGCCCTACACCTTATAAAATGCCTACAGTACTTTGCCCCAGCTTTGAAATCATTCTTGCTATTCAGATGACCAAGGTTCTTAATATAGAAGTGTGAATGGAAGAAATGAGGCAAACAGTGCTGAGGAACTCAAGGAGTCATGTCATATAATCTCTTGGTTTTGCTGCACTAGACCCAGGTTGATGGGAAAAGGCTAAGTGTGTTCCCAAGACCCATAAGGTCAAGTGTGGGAGAAAGACACAAGCTTAAGTCAGAAACTCCAAGAGTATGTCTGTGGGCAAGTGCAGAGGCACAGGTTACTTAAAGATTGACATAATCACTTTATTGTCCTACCGTGATAAATTATTTCTTATTAAATGTTGAAAACTTTGAAGATACCTGTAAGCATTTTGAAATGGACAAAGCAACTTCTACCATCCTGTCTCCTAGAGCTGGCATTGGGCCATCTTGACAGAACCTTCTAGATCATTTTCGGGACCAGTTTCATCATTCATACATACATCTAGGCATGCTCCCCAGTATGCTCACCCACATGTGAGCACAGACAGACACACATGTCTACTCCAGACTGCCTTCATGGAGTTAACTGTTATCAGAAGATTGAAAAGTTGGCCCTGGCCAGTGTATGTTGATTGTGAGCCTACCCCATGGAGGAGGGGAGGAAGCCAATGTCTTTGGGTTTCTGTTAGAAGAAAGCAAGGAGCCAATGGCTGGTGTGTTTCTTGGGAAGTGAAGAATGACTGGCACTCAAACCTACCTTTGCTTCTCCACTGTCAATCAAAGAGTTGTATAAGTTTAATCTAAGATCAGTCCATCATCCATCATCTTCCAGTGACCGTGACTCACCGGAAGTTGATATCAACCTCTATGCAGATTATTATTGACTTCCCACTGCCCACTTTGTATTCTACATAGACATTATGTTCGTCTGAAATTCTTTCCGACGATTCATAGTGGCATAGTCCACCACATATGTAACAGACTCTACGTGATTGGGTGTGTCGGTCATTGTCAACTTTTCTTTAGTTTAGGCCCTGCAATAGTGAACACCATATCATCTTTCATTTGCTCCTTTTTCAAGATTATTTTCCCCATGCTAAATTTGAAGAAGTGTGATTTCTGAACCAGCCACAGCATTGTAATTCTCTGTTATGTGGTCAATATTACTCTTAAGGAAATAAGTTTAAGTAATGGACACTCTTTCTCCCATCCAAGTACTATCCAGGCCTGACCCTGCTTAGCTTCCAAGGTCAAACAAGACTGGGTATGTTCAAGGCCATAAACCAGGGCCTACTTCTCAGTGCAGGACGACATCAATCTTGAAAATGGTTCTTAAGGGTGGGTACCGGGCTGCCTTCATGTTTGGTCCTTGGCCTCTGTCTTCATGTCTTCTCCTCTGTAAAACAGATATATGTCTGGTTCCTTTTCCTCCTTATGCAGACACTGGAAAACCAAATTCTGAGCTCCAGAAGTACTTTGATTTCAGAAATAGCTGAAAACTGAGTATTGACATATATTTCAGCAAAAACAGAATCATATAAAAACGTTTACCTACCCTGTCCCTAACTTCCTGGAGTTACAGAATACTGGCTGTTCAAAGAATAAGTTTCCCACATTCTTTAGCTCACACTGCACTTTTCAGCCACGTGCCCAGTGTCCTCCTGTTCCCTCACATCCTGCCACTCCCTCTTTCCAGCAGTATCTCCTGCAACTGTTCCCCTGACGGCCATTACTAGCACTGCTGTTGTTGCGGGCTATGTCCTTTCCTCTTCACCTCTGCAGCAGCCTCTGGTTGCCATGGCAGCATCTTTCCCTGCATGCAGGAGGCCAGGTGAACAGCTCTGGCTGTTGTTGTCTCTGCAGATAGAAACCGAGTCTGTTCCCTTCGGCTCCCTGGCTAGGCTCTTGAATGTTGCCTAGGTGCTGACTTGGGCAGCCACCCTTGGGATCTGATTTGACATTCAAATGAGCAAGAAAGAGGATGGACTAGCAGGGTTTGCATGATGAGAATCGGAAAGTCAGTTTCCACGTGTGACTCACAGGTAGGGGTGCCAACACGCTGACCAAGGGTCCCTCCTTAGAACTGACTGCTGTGGCTACAGATGCCGCAGCCACCTCCTGACAATGATGCTCAAAAAAACATGTCTTTGGGGGAACTACAGTCATCTGGGGAGACCTATGTGATACTTTTCTGAAAATAAAGAGATTATTTGTCAAACAATGAGCATTGCCTAGAAACTGTAGTGTTGCAGTGGCCAAGTGTTGGGCATCTGAGGCCACTTATCACTTCACACCTGCAGAAGAGACATCTGTGAGTTGCTTAGCTCTGGGTTCCTACCCTAGCCCCTCACCATTATGGAGCTACAGGAAGTGATGCCCAGTAGCCCTACTCAGACCTCCTGTTTGACACTCTGCTGAGTATTTGTTCTCCCTCTCCACTCTCCTAAATCTTCCAAACCTTGACTCTCCTTTTCTCTGCCTTTCCTAGAAAAGCCAGGTCAGAGACTCTTCCACCCCGTTAGGTAACTTATCTGGTTTCTGGGTAGACCCAGTGTCCAAGTCTTAGCATCTGAGATCACGGATCTTGATGACAATAGCACATGGGGTTTATGGTCACTTCTGCATGGACCCCAGTGTCCTGAACTATGCTGTGACTCCCCAAACACTAGGAAGTATTTGCTATTGATATCTCAACCCAGTGTGTTCCGTGTGAAAGGAGATTTCTCAGTGTGTGTGTGTGTGTGTGTGTGTGTACACTGAATATTAATATTTATGCTCTTCAGCATGATACAGAAGTATAGTTTGTGTATGTGGTGAGAAAATATAGTAGTGTTAACCCATACTGAAGATTCTGAAGGGTGTTAAGGTATGAATGCTGATATTCCCCCAAATTCATCCAATCCCCATGTCCGGTAAGAGGTGGGGCCTTAAGGGGCTGACTGGACCATGAGGTTGGTGTCATTATGAGTAGAACTGACTCCTAATAACAGGCCCAAGAGAACTAATTCCCTGCCCCTTCCACCATTCGAGGGTACAATGAAAAGGCACGCTATACACTTTCTCTTTTTCTGGCTCCTTGCTATTGACACCTCAGATTCCAGAAACCAATTTCTGTACAAATTAAAGTTCTTAGGAGACCCTTGGATGACTGTATTCTTCTTAAAGGAGCTTGAGCTGGCTAAAATGGGAGATCTAGACAGAAAAGATAAAAGAGGCCCAGTGCAGAGCAAGAAGGCTCAGAGAACAAGAAGGAAGCTGGAATAAGACCCTCCCACTGCAGGTCCAACTGCCAGCTCAGGGGCCTTCATCCTCCTCTCCTCCTACGTCCCCAGTCATAACCTGCAGAGGGGTCTTGCCTTGGGAAGGCTCCATTTAGGATCTTCCTAATGCTCGCACTCCCAGTGATGTATCACTATTTTAATCCAGGCGCTTATTGTTACTATGTATCCTCCTAGCCACTCTTGGTCCTCGGTGCCTGGCAGCTTTCCACTGGAATCCAGTGCCGTATTCCCTCCGATGAACCTGTTATTGACAACGGCCCCTCCCTTCCCTTAACTGAAGCATCAATAACTTAGCCAAGGAAGCCAAATTCTACCCAGTCACACAGTAACAAGAATAATGTGATCTGTGTATGAAATTGACAAAGAATTTTTTTTATTAAGGAGAAAACATAACAGAGATTGCATAGGAACAAATTATCACCCTTTAAGGAAGAGTTTGAAGGCCTTGGATTTACATGTTTGCCCCATGGGAAATTGATTTTAAGACCCCTGCAGTATCCATCACAAAGCTGCCTCAAGAAGGAATTGCTGTCATTTGCACAGCGCTCCTTTCTAGTGCTGGAAATATCATTGCTTCTGAGCTTCAATTCTGGATATTTTTATATGAAAGTGCCCATGTGAATAATCATACCACTTAAATGCACTTGACCTCAGAAAGCAAGTATGTAGCAAAGATCACACCATTTAGCGATCTCTAAACTCTAGACTCCCTTGTAGTGCCCCCAAAAGAAGTCAGAGTGAGTAGACAACACTATCAGAGTTGACAAGATCACCTCTTAATGGACCAGAAGTGCCTCTGACTTCCCGGGGCTCTATGATACCTACCAGACATGTCACACCATGGCTGACTTTTGCCAGAGAGCCACTTCCCGGTAGCAGCTAAACCCTGAAGGTTGTATGGCACTGAGTGCCTGTGACCGAGTGTGGGGTGGCTGGCCCCCTCATCATCTTCATTATCAATCTGTGTGGCAATCTAGAAGTCCAATTATGCTGAAGGATCTTGAATGTCACTGCATTTTCCCATACTAGCAGAAGAGGGTTGGTTTGGTTTCAGAGAGGCCGCAACACAGCTTTGGCTTTGCAGTAGATTGTGGGTCAGCCATGCTCTGTACACAATACAGCCTTTAACCATTTCCTCTCTTGGTTACCATTCTTTTCACCTTCATTTCAGGGAGAGCCTTAGCAATTAATCCTATAGAAATAAATATTATTCCTGCTGTTTTTTACACATAAGGAGCCTCAACCTGATGCTAATTTAGGATGCTCTGAAAATGTTCTAGCATGTTCTAGAGTGTTCTTCCCCTTTCTCCCTCTTCACTTTCAATCCTTTGCCTAACAACTCTATAAATACTGTCCCAACCCATATTAGGATTTTACTTAAGGCTCACTCTAGGATGCCTGAGTCCACCCCTTTGTAATACTCCCATTAAAGTAGCTGGTCACCATCCGACACACTGGACTGTTCTGGTTCAAGCCTGTGGTTTATTTTCAGTCCTCTCTCATGTGCACAGTGACAGCTACTGGCATTTTTTTATTGTTTCATCTTAGGCCCCAGAATAATGTTTGGCACATGCTATAACTGAATAAATAAATAATGTAGATGAACGGTTGGTTAATCCATCAATAACTTCATATGAATTCAGTCTTTGCATCAGAAGTATGATGTTCGTGTTTCTACTGACCAGCGTCTTGGCTATTTTCTTCCACAAAAACACAACTTGTTCTCACATACCCAGCTCCTACACAAAGGAAGATCTGTGTGTGAGGCTATGTGGTGGCTCCTGGGTCTTCTATTTCATCCTAACCCACTGAACAGCACCATTCATACATAGATATAGTCCACTTCGGCCTGCTAGTCGGTTTCCTTTCTGTCACATATGCAACTGTGACTTTATATATCTATTTAAAATCAAGGAACAATGAAAGAAAAGAGCAAAAAACAAAGACTTAAGCTACTCACCCTTCTGACGCTGGCTCAATACACCTAGTAAAGTTGTGTCTGTTTGTATCTGTTTGCCTACAAAGGAAACAACTTTGTTTCTCTTTTATGGCTGGCAAACAAAACCCGGTTGTCTCTATGAAGCACCTTTTCTTTCTATGAAGCCCCTTGTCTTTCTTCACTTTCCTGTAAGACTGGACCTGCCACATCCACTGAGAACGGTGCAGAATGGATATGCCAGTCCTGGTCTCCACCATGATCTGACTCATAGTAGATGCTCGTCAACTCCCCAGTCAGAGAGACGGGGGGGGGGGGGGGGGGGGGGGGGGGGGGGGGCCTCATCAGGAAGCTTCTCTCCAGTTCAGTAAACAAACTCAGGACTCTGTCTGTAGCTAGGAAATGGATACCTGGGAGAGAGAATGTTCTGAGAGCCTCGCACCTCACAGTTCTTTGAGAAGCTGTTGGCTGTCAGAAGCAGGAGGCTCACTGGACAGGGAGCAGCCAGTTCATGAGGAACCTATGCAGACAAGCCAGTGAATGGCGAAATCCTGTGCATTTGGCAGTCACATAGACCTCTCCTTGACGTGTCCAACCAAACAGAATGAGTGAAAGTTGCCTTGCTGTGGACCTGGCAGAAATACTAGACACTGTGAACAGTTTCTGATCCCTCCCGCTTTACAGATTGGCCAGTTTTTACTTCTATAGATGTGCAAAGATGATCGATTCTGGGAAATGATGCTATTGATCAATCTTCACCTCCAGTCTCTGCCTACCCTAGGGATACTGTTGTGTATTCTAGTATAAAAAGCACAAACAATACAACCTCCTCAAGGATGGAGAGATGGCTCAGCAGTTAAGTGCCTGCTACTTATGCAGAAGACCCAAGTATAGTCCCCACACCTATGGTATGTGGCTCACAACTGCTGTAGCTCCAGCTCCAAAGGATCTAACATCCTCTTCTGGAAACCAGCACTCATGTGTGTACATACATAGGTGTATGTATACACCCATACGCTCATACACATGAGCATGCAAACACACACACTTAAAAATAAAACTAAATATTTAAAACAAAACAACCCCCAAAAAATCTCCTTTATATATTACAGCTTCAATTTTGGAGCAAGTAAGCCAATTCTTAAGCATTAAATGCCAGCATGACTTTTAAATTTAGTGTAATAGGCAGGGTAACCTGTGAATTGCTCTCTCCATTTCAGCGTTAAGAATTCTCTCTGCCTTGATATCGCCTCACAGAAGTTGCCTGTGATTGAGTAAAAGGGCCTTTGAAGCTCAGTAAGGTTTACTTTTTCAAAAAAAAAAAAAAGTCCTTTTTTATGAGTAAAGTGTCTTTCAAGCGATGTTGTAGAAACAACAGTCACCTTTAGTCCACCCTCAAAAAAGGAGAATTTGAGAAACTAAGTGGAGACACTGTTAGAGTTGACAAGGTCAATCCAAAATATATTTGCAAGAGTGATTTTGATGAAGTCTAGAGAGATGATGGCTCAACAGTTAAGAGCACAGATTCCTCTTGCAGAGGTCCCAAATGTAGCTCACAGCACTAATGTCAGGTGACTCAAAACCACCTTTGACTCCACCTCCAGGGGATCTGATGCCTCCGTGGGTACTGCATTTATGTGTACACACCCACAAACATACACATAGTCCAAAAAAGTCAAAAGAAATACCTTTTTATAAAAAAAAAGAACGATTCTGATGGAGAAAGCTATATGCTTTTCTGTAACTAAGTCTATTCCACAGGGTTTTATCAGGTCTAACATTGTTTCCTGTGTGAAGTATCCAGAGGCAGAGCTCTGGCAGTGAAGGTCCCAGTGGCTGGATACTAGGAAGCAACTTTGATGCTAGGAAAACCTTTTGACAGATAGATTAGAAAACTCAAGGTTATGCAGTGGCCCAGGTACACAGCTGTGCCTGGACCTGTTAAGGGGAAGGAGGAGATTCTGTTTCTACATCTTCAAAGTCCCAGAAAGGGACTCCCTCTGGACTCAGCTCCTGAGAGACCCTGGGAGACCGAAGACAGGCCAGAAGTATGCTAGGGTCATGTTAGAGACATGTTAGGGTCTGGTGTGCACCCAGTAGGAATAATGCCTGTAGAAGCTCCCAGACAAGGCTAGAATGTGATGGAGGGAAATTAAAGTTCAAGGGCAAAAGCTCAGAGCTCTCTCGGTGCTTTGATGCTGCTAAGGCGCTGGACAAGGGAAATGTGTAAATGACCAGGAGGCCATAAAGTAAAAGGGAGAGGGGCTCTGTGCAGGAAGTGTGACTAGGGAACTGGGATAACTAGAGTAACCAGGTAACTAGGATGGATGAGAGCTTCAGAGGGCTTTGGAACCTGGCCCCTTTTAATTAACAAAACAGAAAGTTGTGTGGCTTTTGAAGCCAAACTACACACAGCAGGGTGCCAGGGTAAGGGGGCCCTGATGGTGTCAGAGAAAGCAGAGGGCAAGCTTGGAGGCAGATTCCAGGGAAGGCGGCATGGCCAAGACTGGGAATGGGGTGTGGGTCAGAAAAGCAGGCTATGGGCTCAAGTCAGTCTCTTCTCTCTGCAGTCCTCAGACATGGAGGAACCCCCACTGGCCTTCAGATGCATAACACTGAAATACAGTGAGCCCTGTTTTCTAGACTTCATCACTTGGCACTGATGCCTTCATCCTCTCCCTCCCACAAGCCCTGCCCTGTGGAACTTGGCTGTACTTTCTAGCCTGCATTGTATGGCAGCTGTCTGCCACCTTTCTTCTCATTGACCAGCAGCTTGAGCATCCGTCCCTTTTTTACCTCTTTTTTTTTTTCTGTTGCTTTATTAAACTGGGCTATACAAGGCAATTTTCATGCTGTTTTAGCCCTCCTGCCCCACCCTCCTTTTCCCCTGCCCCTCCCATCCATCTCAGAGACAGTTTTGTTTCTGCTTACATGTCATCTGTATATACATGATTTTTATGCATCTATTTAAACTCCAAGACCCACAAATGAGAAAAATATATAATTATTGTCTTTCCGAGATAGACTTCATTTGCTTAATGTGATCAACCCCAGTTGCTTCCATTTCCTTGCTTCGTTCTCCGTGTGGCTGAGTAGACTACCACTGTGTACCTAAACCACATTATCATGATCCACCCCTCTGTTGATTGACACCTAGGTTGGTCCCATAACTGAGCTATCATGAATAGTGTTGCAGTAAACATGGATGGACAAATGTCTCTGTGGCATGGTAACTTTGTGTCTGTTGTGTAAACACCCAGGGATGGGGTAGATGGATCCTTTGGTAGGGTTGCTTTTAGTTTTATGAGGAACCATGAAACTGACTAACATAGCCTCTGGACTAGTTGACCTTCTTAGCAGTGGGTATGGCGCTCCCTCTCTCCCCATTTCTACTTCTGCAGAGTCTCTGGCCCACCCATCTCCAACCAGGACAACATTACCTCTCTTCACTGTCTCTAAGTCTCCTAAAGCTGTAACCAAGCAACCCACCTCTTCTTGGAGTTACCTTCCTCAGCTCATCCCTACCCCGGGGGTCCCTGGGTCTGAGCTGCAGAGAACACTCCTTTCCATGGGCCATAGCAACTTCTTCTGCTCTTCTCATGGGCCTGAAGCCTCACAGCACTTTCTTTACTTCTTGGATCCTAATATGCAGTCTTCCCTGAAATTTAGAGTCATCTCTTTGAATCCCTGCATTCTATTCTGCAGGTCCATACTTCAGTTTAGAAAGATTTGCAAAGATTGAATCTGAATTGTACACACATAGACTTTTCTTTTAGCATCATTCTATAAACAATACAGAATCACAACTCTTGGTATGACATTTATGTTTGGTGTTCTGAATCTCCTAATGTTTTAAAGTATAATAGGTTTTAAAATGTTTTAAAGTATACATATATATGGGTATAGGTTACAGATCAATTTTGTAACATTTTCTGGGTATCTTGGCCATTGTTGATTTTTTTCTGCCAATTTCCTTACAAAAGAAAAAAATATGCCTCTGGTGTATATAACCTACCTCTGTGTTTTTGGTTCCTGCAGCTCCTGATGGTCCACCTCAGGAAGTTCACCTGGAGCCCACGTCATCTCAGAGCATCAGGGTTACCTGGAAGGTAAACTGAACCAATGCCTGTGTCTTTGACACTGTTCCTAGTGTATGAACCCCAGTATTCTTGTCCTGATGCCAGGATACTAACATTCAATACAAACACAGTGCCTGATGACAAGGATTCATCCTGAGAAATCTGTCTTTGGGTGATTGCGTCATCGTGAAACTATTATAGAATGTATTTACACAAGCTGGCTGTGACACCTCGAAATACTCAAATCCTTGTGATAGTCATTATACATGCCATTGTCCCATTAACTGAAACACTGTTCGGTGGCAGAAGCATGTTTGATACCCATAGTTTGAATTCCCCTATAGTAAATTATCCATCTCTAAAGAATGAGGTTGCTCTGTCTTACTTATTTTGTCCTGAGAATTTGATTAGGGTCCCTAGGATCGGTCTCAGGCAGATAGTGAGATGGATACCCCTTGACTTTGTAATTCCATCACAGCTGAAAACCTCTAAATGCTTCTTGGGAATGAAGAGAGCACTGTGTAGTCCACGATGCATGACAGAAGGAAGGAGAGAAACCCCCCTGTACGTTAGCTAGCTGTGTCCTTGGGTTCCCTGACCACGGCATGAACCTTGGAAGCAGCTGTCTCCTGGGCAGTGTGGTTGTAGATAAAGTCTAGTTGCTGCTCAGCTTGCTGTCGGCCGCCCTGACAGGGTGGAGCAAGCCTGAGCCGGGGCAGGGCCTGCCTTAAAGGTAAACTTTGTAAAGGAGGTGGTGGTATCTGTCCCCTGTGCACACCTGTCACAGATCACTGTTTTGAGTGGCCACTGACACGCGGATACTCTCAAGTCATGGCACTTACCTGTGGGTGAGATGCATTGGAAATGAGCCATCTCCTTGGAGATGCATTTGGCAATGACCATATGGGTCAAATGCTCTTTCATCTAGGGAACTATTATTGGATCATGCTTCCATGAAATTCCACTGCTTCTGGCTTTTTCTTCTCCCACCTTTTCCCTTCCTCTCCCCTCCCCTTTCCTTCTCTTCCCTTTCTCTTCCTCCTCCTATCGGCCCTCTCATAAATGATGAGCATGTGTGACAGAAGGCAGGCTTCCACCGTGGGGGTGCGCACCACCTCGGGTACTAACACGGTTAATGTAGGGAGTCCCTGTGTATCCGCTTTTTTAGCCCTAGCCAATGAGCTGTGTTTGCAGCAGGCGGCATGACAGACCATGTGGCTTGGGAGTGTGACGAGCTGTCCTCAGTCTTTGTGACCAGTCCACTCCTGTGAGCACCACACGCTGTACAATAAAAGGATCTCAGCATGCCCTAACCCTGTGCACATCCCAGCCATGCTACAAACAGAAAACTGGCTCAGTCTGCCCTGAATAGAGGCTATGAAGTTTCAGCCAATTGCTCCATACATCTCTTTGCATCTAGCTACTGGAAAGGGCCAGATATTACTGTGGCCTTGAGAGGGTTTTCTTTTTTTTTGGGGGGGGGGGGTCCTATGTGAAGGGTGTGTCTGTATAATGAGCCTCTACCTCTTGTAGTTAAAATTGGAAACTTCTGGGGCTTTGAACGGGTCCTAAAATAAAATGCCAGAGTGAAAGTTAATGCATTACATTGCATTTCTTCCTAGAGCCGAAGGGACGAAGGTGTTATGGGATGCACAGCATACCTGGCTTCCCTAAGACCACTCGTTAGGTGCCGTGCAGGTGTACAGCCCTGCCCGCAGGCATTGTTGTCTGGCTCTTGGGCAAGCAGGCAGGCATACTGGTGACTAACCCCACTGAGTGAGGTATGGTGGCTAAAGACTCAGGCAGACTAGCTTATTGCTCCACCTGATGGTATAAAAGACTTTAAAGGGCATTCCTGTTTCAGGCAAGCTGTGGACTGATCTATAGGACACGCAGAGATGGTATGTGCTATCAAACATGCCTCCCTGTGGTAGGAGAGTTCAGAACATTCAGTTTGTTTAAGGAGTCTACAGAGGAAGAAGAAACGGAGAGGAGCGGAAAGACAGGGGGACAGCATCAGCCAAACAGGGAGCCCCTGTGTCTGGGAGTAGGCATGGGTATGTGTGGAATGGTAGGAACCTAAGATGAGGACTCACTCACTCACTCCCATGGACAGCTGGATTGAAAGATGTGTCCAGTGTAGGGAAGAAAGCGGGGCTATTGGTTTTGAGTGGGAAAATAGCCATTTTAGTCTTGACATCCCTAAAATATAAAAAAATTACTAATTTTCAATTGCACTAGAGTTATTAAAATTTTAAATCATTGTCTTAGAGTAGACCTTCTTCTGAATCTCTGTTATCAAAATAAATTATTTACCTATTTTCATTTTAACTGTTTGTTTCACTAAAGGAAAGGGTGAATTTGAAACTTTTCAGGCCTAGCTGCCCATGCCCTGAGGATATGACCAATCCCAAGGACACTTGAGGCCTCCACCATCAATCCCTTGCTCCCCAGTCATCCACATCCCCCTGATCCCAGGTGCCCTCCTTACCTGTCATGATTCACATGGTACCATGGCACCTTTCCTGCCCAGTTACGGATTCTCAAGGCTCCAGTCGCATGTAACACTCAGGGAAGACAGGTGAATCCCTGACAAGGGATTGCCTGTGACATTTCCAGCACTCTCAGCGTGTAGCCTGTGTTCTGTGCATCTCCTCGGTGGCTCTGCGGGCCCCTTAAAGACATGTGTGCCTTGTTCATATATGTGCATGGGTGAATACGTGAGTGAAGAAATGAATCAGGAAAAGAGTAGCTGGTGGGAGAATGAATGAATGAGTGTGTTTATGAGTAGGCGGGTCTGAGAAATGAGCAAGCCAATGAGCTAGGGAGTGAGTAGGCAGGTGGGCAGGCAGTGGTGAGTGCAGAGGTGATGGATGAGTGAGTGGGTGGGCAGGCAGTGGTGAGTGAGTGCAGAGATGATGGATGAGTGAGTGAGTGGGCAGGCAGTGCTGAGTGAGTACAGAGGTGATGGATGAGTGAGTGGGTGGGCAGGCAGTGGTGAGTGAGTACAGAGATGAGAGCCCCTGGGAGGTGGAGTGAAGGAACCCCTAGGCCATGCATTCATAACACAGGAGCCTCTGCAAAGCATCATGGGGTTCTTAGGCAGCAGTGGGGAAGAGGCCACACTATTCAGATGCAATTGGATGCAGAAAAATATTTCCGTTGTAAAATTTTGCTTCAAGTGAGAAATCTTTTATAGAGTATCTCCAAAATACACACTTTCACTTGCTGAAGTATTGGCACGCAGAGAGCAATTGTAAGCTGATGGTTCAGAATGAAGCCTCGAGGAGGATTCTACCCTTGTCTCCTCCTCAGTATTGCATATTGCGACTGAGAATGCTTTTTAATAAGCGAAATTTTCACTTAGAATTCTACATGCTTTCCATGAGGGTCTCAGTGAATTTCTAGAATCAGAAGAATGGTCTTCTCACCAAGCTCATCTCCCCACCCCTAGTGACCGCTGGTGGACTGGGGTCAGGCTGGGAACCGCCATGTGGGTAGCTCGTGCCTACAAGACTTAATAAATATGAAATCCCTTACTTTGTCTTCCAGCCTCATGGGGTGAATGTCACCTGACCTGGTGAAGCTAGAGCAGATCTGTATTCTACCTGTCCCTACTAGCATTTTATACCTAAATTATAAACCTAGCTCAACTCTCTTCTTTCCTACAAGAGTAAAAATTAAAAAGTTGTCTTGAAATACATTTTAATTTTTTTTCAGCCATTCTCTTAATCGTAAGGCTATGAAAGATTACAAAGTTCCTTTTGCTTTCATGAATTAATCCAGCGGTTCTGGTTGGGGGTTATGGGTGCTTTATTAAAAAATGTGTACATGTCTCACAGATATGTAAGGAATTGTCAGTCCTTCATGTATTAGCAGGTCTAACCTCTCCTCCCCTTCCACAAGACAGAGAGAGAGAGAAAGAGAGAGAGAGAGAGAGAGAGAGAGAGAGAGAGAGAGAGAGAGAGAAACTGGCTTCAAAGCCTTTCTCATCCCCATGGAGTAGGATTGATTTTTCTGGAACCTCGAGGTGGACCAGGAAGTACAGGCTCTGTGAGGGTTCACTCCTCAGCAGGAGGGGAATGCGTGCCGTCATTCAGATTTATGTTTTTAAAAAGTCCATATACCTGTCTTTTTGTGTGAAAACCTTTGTCCTCCACAGAAACACCCGGGCCACAGATTCACACTGCAGATACTGTGCATTTAAACAGGCACGTTCCTTCAGGAACCACCTGGCTTATGCTCCATTTGGAGCCTGCTCTATGTTTCCCTCCCTCCCTCCCTCCCTCCCTCCCTCCCTCCCCCATGATTAGGCGAGCCAGTTTAGGGAAGCCGCTGGATAAGCCAGCTTCAAAGACCCCAGTTTTTGTGAGAGCAGCACCCCAGCTTTTGGTAAACCTTCCAGCATAGGCTGGTGCCCAGCCTCAAACGAAATAACAAGAGATGTTTTTTTTACTTAGATCTTAGATGAGAGATTCGCCATCATAAAACCTAGTGTCTTATTTGCTCTACCAGGAAAATCCAATTTCAGGTAAAAACAAGAGAAATCAGGTAGCCGGTTTTCATTCACTTTGAGAAAGAAGGGCAAGGGGGAAGGAGGGAGCATCCTGCTACCTCACCAGATCCACGCAGAAGCCCCACCACTGCTCTGTGCTCGGCTGTGCTTCTGCTGTATTCCTGAGAGGGGAAACAGAGAGGCGTATCTGACATATTTGAGGTTCTCTTCCCCTGTCACCCACCTGGTGCTGATTCTTGAAATCCTCTGGTTTAGTCAAGGGCTTCCCATTGCCCAAGTAGTCCTGTGAGGCATTCTTCAGGTGTAGATGGCAGGTCTGGAGCCCAGCCTGATTCCAGAGAGCCCGGCTGCAGGAAAAAGGCCTTTAGACACTTAGAATTTCCACCTTTGAGTGAGGATAAGGATACTACCCTGGGCTGGCGGACTCAGCATTTAACAGTCTGCTGCTCTCTCAGGGGACCTGAGCTCTGCCCTCTTGTCATCTGGAAACCCAGAATTCCCACAGATAACTCAC